CCTACAGCTGTCAACTGTGTTCGTTTTTCGTCGACTTTGACTGGCTTCCATGTGAGGTAGTATTCTTGTGTTCTGTTTTTCTGACTTGAGTTTTTGAATCCGCTGTTTATGTTTTTAACGTCTTTCATGTCTTTTGTAGGAGTGTCCAATCCGTGATTCGAACTTGCGATCTTTGAGTTCCCAGCGCACTGTCTTGTCCACTGTACCACGAGTGTCTTCACACAAGAGATAGGATTTAAGTCCTATTCATAGGAGCACTGTCTTCACTAGCATTCAAAAATCTAACTAAACATACTGGATTCGAACCAGCGATCGCTCATATTGTTGACATAGTACAAATCAACTGAGCTATGTGGGTAGTCATGCAAATTGAATAATTTGTTGTCATATTTAGCTTTATTGCCAAATAGTGTTTGCGAGAAAAAGATGGGCAGGCAAGAGAATTGAACCCGGGTCCTCCTGATCACTATGTAGAGAACTCACCCACAAGACCACGATGGATTGACTGGTTGTGTTTGCATTTGAGTATATAGTGTGTATATATATAGAAATACAACATATTTCTATTATTGAGTTACAATTGTCCAAAAAATTGGCAATTTTGTCTTTTTACTTGTGTAAACTATATACATGGCATAACCCGTTAGTGTACATTTTGCCAATTGGGTGTTTGCCATTTGCGTTGCCCATACCTGACCCGACCCTAACCCTAATGCCAAGACACGTTCCTGTTAATTCCGTTGCCCATACCTGACCCGACCCTAAACCTAATGCCAAGACACGTTCCTGTTTATATTTGCTCAATAATGATACTCTGTTGTGCACTGTCTGCGGGTAAGTTGCATTGATGTCAACTGATTAAACAAGTCGCGTTTTAAAGTAATTTCCACTATTAATTAACAAGTGGTTAAATTGTGACAATAAATGTGTGGACAAATATTTGAGATTAATTTTGGTGTAGACAACTCGTTTAATTATTTTACACCATTACAAGTTGTTAAATTGAGAGAATAAATTTCTCAACAAATATTTAATACTTAGTTTGGTGTAAACAACTCACGTTTGATTAATTCCCACAATTACAGGCTGTTAAATTAAA